CGTTTCTTCTTTAATTCTCTGTTGACCATTTTATTACATTCTAGATCGCTTCTATTAATCTCTAAATGTAATTTTCTTTTTTCGCATTGTTAATTTTTTGCACTGTATTACATATTTAGTTTAGAATTTATTTTATACGTATATTACGCTTATATATTAATTTAATTAATTCTTCGCGTATTAATTTTTTATACACTGTTATTTATGATGCTTACAATTTATTTTACGTATTTATTATACGTATAGCTATAGGTACCTATATTTCAAATCGATTGCATTCATTATTGTTCGCTGCAATGAATATCGGTCCATTAATGAGTTACGAAACGTAACCGATTTTTTTCCTCATCGACAAATGGGATCGAGACGCTAAATGGGATTGTGCGGCGTGAAATGCATTCAAGAGCAGATTTCGCCCGAACATGTACACGTGCATACGCCTCGTGGTATTCCGCGTATTCTGCGCATCGCACGCATTGTGCGTACGACAGTTTAGTTACACATGGCGGTGGATTACACACATGCATCAGAGGTGAAATCCGTTTTATTCTGAACTGCATCTTTCAACTAGATAATACTTGAATATTAAGGCAACACGTGCATTCCTCAACCGCGCGTGGGAGCATTAAATCACGAATGCAATGTGGAATACAGACCTATAAAGAGCAAAACATTAAAACGATAATGCCATCTCGTTGCGAGAACGGCACACAATTATTGGGAAGGTGGGTTTTACGTTTGTAAGTGGTCCATAAACGTCGCCTAAATATCTTTAACGTCAGTCGTCGATTTCGAATCGGTCTATCGAGCTCCATTTTTGGCGCATTTTATTTCCGAGCACGGCAGGATTAATATTTTAACATCGCTATATACCGTCGCATTCCATCTAAATTCTCACTATAATTGTTAGACGATTTTATCTTAACGTCTTTTATTAAAATATATTGGATAAAAAAATCAGGAAATTGCTGAAATTAAATAGCTATTATTTACTCTCTAAACTTGCAAAGTAAATCTCACTCTGAAGAGTGAAATTTCACTCTTAAAGATTGAATGTATCGAGCCATTCATTTTCAAGATTGGCTCAATTTTCACTCTTTAGAATGAGATTTCATTCCAAAGAATTTAAAGAATAATAATAAATAGAATGAAACAAGTTGTAACTATACTCTACAGAAAAACTTATTTTAAGTTTATCAACATAAGAAAAAAAAAAGTTAATAAATAGTTAAAATTAATAAATACATTTGCAGACTTGTAAAAAGAAATATATAGAAAAGTCTAACATTTAATTGGTTACCTGGTTACATTAGGTTCAATATGTTTAGAAAGTCTCGTTATAGATGGTGTTATTTTCATGAAAGAAATTTTCTTGAAGTTCTTTGAAGACGTAAATTAATATTAGAAATTATATGTAATACTCCGTTTGTATCACTTTTTAATACAAGCGAAATTTCACTCTCGAAATTTTATTCTTACTTAATTTTGTTCAGATTTTAATTTTTAAAGATTTCAATATTTGAATTAAAAAACTTAATAATAGAGATAAGTTATAAAGTAACTCTAAATTTTTTCACATTTTTTAAAAACCTAGAACAGTATAAAAATATTGATTTGGACAAGAAACACCCAGATTGCAGATAATGAGACTAATTTGATTGCAAACGGAGAGTTAATGATTTTCAAACGTCACGCCTTCTGTATCAATTTAAAGTGCTTTCTATCAAGGGATGACAGTGTAATACAGTATAACACACAGTGTAATCATTATCATGTTGTTGTTTGCCAATCAAACAAAGATCAAATGATTTACTGTGTTATATTATGTCACTTGTATCTCTTGCTGCAAACCACTCTCAGATCATCACGGTCATTTCGAAAATATATTACTGAATCATGTAATCACTCGAATTGTAGTTGAGTTAGCTCGTATTTATAATTAATTTTTTTCAAGTTTATATTATATATTGCTTTTACAGTATGTATTAGTAAAAATTACAAGTTTTTTTCTACAGTATCGTATTCAATTTATTTTATTCTGTTTGCTCGTTATAGAATAACAATTGGACTATGTTTCAAAATTCATCACCAGTGCTGAAAATTTATATTTACGTTACTATAAAGTTACGTGACTATAAAGTTTTAATACTGGTAAATTTTGAAACATGTAGCTTTAGTTTCAATAATTTCTCGATTGTCAGACTGTATGTCAAACTTTTGGTCCTAATACCGCATTTAGTTGAATAATGCGCACCAGTTATAGCTTGTTGCATGCTAATTCATCTGAATGTAAAAGCATAAGTGTTTTGATTGATGAAATGCTCAGCATATATTCTCTTTACCAAACAATGCAATAAGTTATGCCAAGTGCATATATATATTTTGCTGATCCAACTGTTTATGTATGATAATACAGTATTACTATGCATACGCCTTTATGTATGTCAATTTGCGTATGACAGCCTTTAATGTGCATCGGTTCGTACTGTTGCATTCGAATTCGCTATAGCATTCTGTTCTGCCGTGTATTTTATTTGATCTGTCAAACCATGAATATGTGAAATGAGCTTTTTTATGGTATTTCATTCTCTTTGACAAAGAATTAAAGGATTCCGCAGCTTACAATTTAGGATAACGATTACAGGGTTGCCACAAAATTGAAAATCACGAAAATTAAAAAATTGTCAGAGAAATTGGAAACGGTCAGAGAAATTATAGAAAAAGTCAGGCAATTTTACAAAACTATATAGAAAATTAAATTAAAAACGCAGTGTCGGCAATATTGATGGTAATTACTATGTTAAAAACAAAAATACATAAAATTTTGAAATAGGAATCTATTATTGAAAATCAAAGAAAAAGTCATAGAATTTTAGGTAAAAAATTTATGACAATTCTGAATTATAATGGTTAATGTACACTGTTAAATCTATAGAATATCAAATTTAATCTAATTTAAGTCGCCACAGCTCCCATTTAATATATCATTATTTTATACTAAAACAGTGGTTAAATTTGAAACTATATAGCGTCAAATTAACACTAGGTTTAACAGTGTACGATTTTGAATTTAAATCGCTCTTAATTTATTAAGTTTGTCAATCATAATGTTTATTTTATCATAATGTTATTATACAATATTACGATGTCATTTTTTTACGGGAGTTGCTACACGGATCGCTTCAAGCGCTTCGAAATGCTGCGAAATGAAAATTATCCAGATGACACTTCTTGAAATGCAGATATCACTTAAGGTGTACGCAACGATAAAACTGAATCGCTTCGCGATCTAATGGGTGTTCGTTGTCTCCTGACGAAACTGAACTCTAATTCTAAACACTCGGGATATTTAGTTGGCACCGTTTACCTCCATTCTCCATCGACGTGTTCCTAACATATGCGTGCAATGTGTATTCCGCGAAGGGTTGATAACACGCCACCTGGCACATTGTTATACTACCAAATATATCACTGTAATGAGAGAGTTATGTCAGCCAGAAATCGATAATTGCCTCCATAACTTTATATTATCGTGGAGAAATTTCGTAACTTTGATGGAGATCACTTTAGAATGAAATTTCATTTCGATAATAATGTTTTCGATATAACAATTGAAAATACCACTGCAACGTGCGCAATCTAATTTCGATTTGATAGGAAAATAATGCTTCTTCAATCAAAATGAACATACACATATCTCCTCCTCGCTTAGTAAACTAACGAAATATCGGATTTCCAATTCCATATAGAGATCTGTATCTAGTTGTCATTGCAACACACCTCATTTTAAGGTAGGCGTCAGGTGTATATAGTTTCTGCAAAAAGTGACTGGAATTGGAAATTTATACTTTCCATGAAAAATGAGTGTTCTATGTACACACAAGAAGCAGTTCAATAAGGTCAATATTTAAAATATTCAATAATATAATTTTATAGTTTAAATAAAAATTTTCTCATTTTATATTAATTGTTTTTTAAAAACATATTTACTTTTATTAAAATAATTTTTAATCCAGGTTCTAAATTGTTAGCAAATTTTTGTATTTACACTTAAATATGTAATATAGAAAAAGTCTGTAACTTCTCATAATTTTGTCATTTCATAAAAAAAAAATACGTGTCTATAATATACATTCTTAATGCGAATGTATATTTATTATGTATATTACATCATCATATATAAAATAATTTTCCGCTTCTGAATAACTATATGCCGGTATTAATATCGATTCGTAAAGTAATAACAATATAAATTTTATTATAAATGTACATACGTGCAATGATTAAATTATATGTTTATGTCAATCCATATATGTTGAAAGACATATAACGTAACACACTTATGCAATTACGTCGAAATAATGCATACAGATGCATTCGTTTTTTTTTACTTTTTCACAACTACGATATTTCGTGACGATATGTAAAAATATAATTTTTGTGTGCCTAAGCAATGTTATACGATATCGAGCAGCAACGCGACCAACGTTCAGTCTTACCGAGAAACCCGTTTATGAATAATGTATGCAAGAGCATGCATCCCTTGCATGAAACTTGCAGTCTTTACTTTTCTCTTTTATGCGTAATCGCCAGCATATGGCGGCATGGCATACAGTCAAGTAGAAAGCAATTATATAACCGTGATACAAAGAGTTAGGTGATTCAATAATTTTTTCCAGAAATTATAAACTTTCAGAAATTGCAATTTCCAAGAACTAGACTGATTATACCTAACGCGTTTAATTACTGACGCGTTCAATTATACGAAATGTAACAAGGAGAAATAAAATATCTTGTTAATAAATTTAGTTACAGTATGATTTTCTCGTGGAAATTTAATTTCGACATCGCTGACATTTTGAACGACGAAATGTTGAAGGATACGAGATATCGACATGTGTTTTCGATTTAATACATTAATTTCTCTAGTGCACGCTTCGTTTTGTGGAATTCGGTCGCTTTAAAAAAAAAGCTGTGAAAATTGTCGACGAAATGATTACCTCATGAGTCCTACGGCTGCCACGAAGACTGAGCCTGTGGCTCCATTCTCGCTTCGGGAAATCCATGCCGTATTTTTCCGTGTCCACTGATCTTTTATTTCCAGACACTGGCGAGCCCTCCGGGGCAACGAGATGCGTCGCTATCCGTTACTTCATGTTTCTCCTGCGCAAAAAAAATTCGCTACATCAAATTTCTCTTTCTATTCTGTCATCGCTTTTCATGTCTGCTTCGATCGTGCTTCAAATTAATTAATATTCGATGCGCAACTTAACGTTCGAGGTAATGTCGTTAATAATTCGTGTACCGCCGCGAAGAGCTTTTAGATAGTGGTTCCTGTTAAGCTTTACCGTTGTGCAATGTTGCAACGAAATATTCACATGAATCATTTCACTTTATAACATATTTTTTATTAATAGTATTCAAGCGTTTAGCTTAATGAAAAAGTAATGGAGGTATTTAAGATGACGAAATAAGTCTTCAGGCAAATTGTGAAAATGCAAAATGCAATATGGAATGCTAGCTTATTTTCATTAAGTTTTTAGTACAACAAGCACTGGGTATATACTTCTTTCTAACTTTTACGCGAATTACTTTTATGTTTGTTTCTAATCTTTTAAGTCTCCTTTCATCCATCTTTAACAGTAGATATTATAATGCTAATATTATTTCGAAGAATAACTTAAAATAGATACTTTAAAAAGATAAATATTCATCCGTTGCAGAATTAATTAATAATTAAAAGTCTAAATTTCCAATTTTAATAAGTACACCGTTAGAAATTTGTGTTAAATTTAACACAATTCGCGTGTCTCAAATGATCCACTCTAATTGATATGTTAATTTAATACAAGATAATATGTTAGAAAATAACATATTTATCTTGTATTAAAGTAACAAATATTATTTAAAAAGAAACTCAGAAAAAGTAACTTAATTTGTAAAGAAACCGTGAAAATGCATTCTTTCTCAATAAAATTAATTAACTTTTATGATATGTTGAATTAACACACTTTATTCATTCGTTTTAAAATTTACGGTTATATCATTTGTCTACTCATAAATTGTATTATTTGACTAAGAAATGTTAAATATTAATTTAACACAAATTATTTAAGTAACAACACAATTACATTGTGTTAAATTAATATTCAAATATATTAAAAAAGTCAATACGAAATTTTAACAAGAACGTGAGTAGATCGTTTTCAAATACGAAATGTTTTTAATGTGTAATTTGCATAATTCAATTTTTAATTAAAGATCAATTATGTATCATGTACTTATGTGCTGTTTTGAAATAGTTAATATAAATGCGTCTTGACAAAGATAATCTAAGCAATCATGTATGTACGAACCTTGACAAAGAAATCTAATTTGCCGCAGACAATATAATCGTCAGACAGGCAAAATTTCGGGACGACTTGATAAGAAATTTCGTCTGACCTGTAACGAGCATTTACAATGTTTATATCGCGTGTCTAAACAAATAATTTCCAGTGGTCTCTATTGTTTACGTTAGAGAGAAATTCAAACCGCACAGTTGTTTCGTATGAAAGAATTTCTTGATATTTCTTCATGATATATAACATGTATAATTTACGACTCTATAAATATTATAATATTTTAAATTGTTTTTATCTGTGACAGATCTATTTTTTAAAATTACGCTCTTCTGAGATTTCATATAAATTATATATTATTTTTATCGAAGGCAATTACAGTGAGAAAAAAAAGAAGAGAAAGAAGATCGAGAGAAAAATCAATTAAATATTTTATCCTTCCATTCTCGAAATAGCATACCTGACTGTTTCTTTCATTTTATATGCTATTCTTTAATAAAAATACATATACAGTTTTCTTACCATTTATAATCCTTAACGTCTATTGTTGAAAAAAAAATACTATAACCGTTTAACCGTTTAAGGCATTGATTTCATAGTTTGTGTTATCACGTGCAGTCCTATAAGATATTATATTATAATATATTTATTTAATATTTTTACACAATGTATTCGTAACGTGAACAGAAACGTGTGGGTTAAGATCGTTTAATCAATAAAATTTTATATTTGAAATTTGTTTTAAAATTATATTTGGTACGTGCTGGAAGCAAAATTGCGTTGCGAAAAAATATTTAACGACATCGTTATTTTTGTTAGTCGTAATGATGGATATGCGGCGTTTACGGCAATCAATACACATTAATCTCGCGGCTTGTTGTTCATAACACTGTACTTCCATCATCGACATTAGAGCGACACGACAAATATAATCATTTCCACTGTCGTCGGAGCGCGCGATGTATATTGCGAAGTTCGCGAGAACGTTGATTAGGATGCGCGCATGTGTGATATTGCGGCGGAGCAATTATTAATGTACCAACGATAGCCGAAGTGTATTATATTATAGCGCGAGCGTAGCGGGAACACCGTTGCGGGATCGATAGACGAAAGTAATTTGCCGCGTGGCTCACAAAGTTGCGGACGCTGAGTTACGGACATAATTTATTCCGCCTACTCCATTATTCCTTTGACTTTCCATTGTTCGAACGCGCTTTCTCTTATCCGGAGTAACTCCTTTTTCTGATCCCAATTGTCATAGCGAACTTTATTGCAATTCCCACTGTAATTTTATATTCATATGCGTTAGCAAAAATGATTTATAATTACTTATTTAAGTAAAAAAATCGTCTAAAGATACGCAAGTTGATAGGATGCTTAAAATATTTCACGAATAATTTTATTTTTATGATTATATTTTTTACTACACTGAAAGAAAAGATTGATTGTTGTAGCAAATTAGATGATAAAATGTAATATGGCCTAGCATTTTTAATTAGCTACAACCAATTTTTGATTGTAGGACTAATTTTTAATTGTTAGCTTATTCGCAATATCAGTATCAGCGATAGGCTAACGTAACAAAAAATTAGCTGCTGCAACCAATTAAAAATACTATGCTATATTCAACCAATCTTATTTTTCAGTATAGTATATCATGTTATAGTCTATATATATAGTCTATATATATTTGTTATCCAACTTTATTATTTTTATACTGAAATGTTAATTATTATTATTGTTGTTAAATTTTTTAAATGTTATCCCGAGATTCCTTTAACATTGCGCAAATTATTGATAGATTAAATTTACATTACAATATACATAATTATACTTTTATGAGTTAGAGGAATGCAAAAATAATGAACTTTAAGACTTTTAAGGCATTTGGACTTTTTATTTCCTTTTTCTAGAATAAGAATATTTAGCAAACTATGCCTGAAGTTTGTGGTCATCCCATTTACTTATTTAAAGGTTAATATTAATAACGGGATAGACCGCAGAAATGTGAGGATTTTCAAAATGAAACATGAAATATGACTTAAATATTAATTTGTTATTCAAATAACATTCTATCTGTTACATAATAAGGTTGCCATAAAACTAGAAATCGGAGAAAAATCAAGGAATTTTGCAAAATTTTCTGAAAAATTAAAATTCTTTGCTTTAAAAAAATATCATACGTACGTCACACTTACGCAATTTTAAAATAATATCAACTTAACAATTAAATATAAATAGTGTCAGTAACGTTAATAGTAATTTAAGTTGCACTCTCAACAAAATATTTTCCAAATCAAGACGAAATTATAAAAAAGTTTTTTAAGATATTATTGAAAACATCGGAAAAATCATGAAATTTTGTCTGGAAATCAAGAAAAAAGTGTGAAATTTTAGGACAAGAAATTTGTTTGGCAACAATAATTAATATTGAAAGATATATTTCATTTTCTATATGTATTTGTTATCCAACTTTATTATTTTATACTGAAATATTAATTATTATTATTGTTGTTAAACTTTTTAAATGTTATCCCGAGATTCCTTTAACGTTGCGCAAATTATTGATAGATTTCGGTTTATCCTGCGACAATAAATCTCCACAAATTCGCAGTATCGAGTTCAAGAACGTGGTTATTCTTTGTTATTTATTATGCACAGAGCGAAATCACGCATTTGTTTCAGCTTCCACTGAATTAATCACGCATGCTAGAATGTTATGATGAATGAAGCGGAATTAAGGCTTCGCTGTCGCGGCGTGCCGGTCGCAAGGAACAAAAGTGCCGGCGACAGTTTGTTAGACTGAACACAGCTCAACAATAAATTAATTAACTTTCAAAGGCGCCGTTACCATCGCCGGGATCGGCGACATTGTTAAATCGAGGCTTGCATCTCCAGAATGGCTGGCTGCTGCTGTTGCGGCCAACCTCGTTAACGACGTGACATACTAATTGAGCTCGTGAATAATAATTATGATTGGTCGCGTTGAGATGTGTCCGCTCACATCGTCGGTGTTACTTTGTCGCGTTGTGTCGCAAACGTCTGGTCGTCTTATCGTTCCCTTCGTCTTCGTTAATCTGCCAGACCGTGAAATCTCTTCGAGGAATAAATTATTACGTCGCCGAGATGCCGCGCACTTTATCCTACGCATAAATTATCATTATACTGACCGAGAGACCGATACTAGTAACGCAGCTTCTTCAGACTGTTGTTCCGCCTCGTGATATCAACACATTCTCGCTTTCGACTACATTATATGTCCGTTACGACGCGGTAATTCCTCTTTATTCGTAATACTCCTCTTTATTCGTAATACTCCTCTTTATTCGTAATGGATGCACACGATTTCGAAATTCACTGTTATATTTCGTATAGCTTCGGATTTATTGCCGGAGTGTGAATAAAATTTAGCTACTTCCGCATGATATTTTCGGACGGCGTAACAAATTATTTATTTGCAGCATTCCTAATGCGAGTACTCGTCTAAACGAACATATTACATGAAATTTGATGTAATTTAGATCTTCTTGGCGAACTATAATTTATGTTAGAATAGAATTTTATTCATAATTTTAACGTATCGCGTAATATGAAAAAGATTTGAAGAGAGAATATCCGTGTTCTCATACATACACATCAAGTATACTCTGAAATACACAAATATCAAAATGCACGATATAAAATTACAAGTAAAATTTTGTCCCGAAATTTAACATAAACTATAGATAGAG